CTCCTCATCCCCGCTCTGCTATCGACGTCCATGCCGTTCGATTTCCTCTCCTTTCCTTGCTCGCATCTCTCATCGTCCCACGTATATCTCGTAACATCTGTTTTGTTGTCATTCAACAATCTGCATTCAATGTATCAGTAGCAAGTATCATAGGTAAGTAAGTACACCTAGTAGGTATAATTGGTTTTGTATTGCATCTGTAGGTACACTAGTATCGAAGGCGTTGTATCGGTATTTAATAAAGCATCTTTCTCCTTATGGACCTTTAGCGCGAAACATCGGCACGGGCTACCTTGGCGTTCCGCACGGTGGCAGTGTACACTATAACTTGGGCTCGAACGACGAACGCCCATGAGCTCGCCCAATACGCGTCCAAAGCTGGCACTTCTCGAGCGAAAATGGGAAACCTGCCACTGAAGAGTGGGAGGAGATCTATCGTGGGTTTCTCAAAGGAGACTTTGTGCAGAATGGCACATTCTCCTTCGCAGGATGCAAGGCGCAGACGAAATGTGGAGACCCAGATCCGGACTGGTCGTGATTGAAGACCGGGAAGCGGGGTCTGACGATAAATTCCAGTATCTAGAGAGGAATGCCGATACACTTGTAGCGGCAGAACCTGAAAATCGCGACGACACAATGCGAACCTTCCCCGCAGATCTCAGGTATGCTCGCCAGGAACGAGACGTGACGAGATTCTCCAGCGCCTCGTTGAGAATCTATACACTGAGGTGGTTCCTACAAACCTTCAAATCCACATTCTGGTGACGCATGCAACTCGAGCCGTTGGACTCAGTACTGAGGACGTCAATGACTCCATCGACACTTTTCGAGAAGACAGCTTGTCGCCGGAGGACCACGCCAGCGAAGTGGTGGCCGCGGTTGAATCCAAGTAAGCTATCTTCTTCAAATCGTCTCTAATTAATCGAGCTGCTGCGGAGCGTTTTCCTAGGGAAATCTACGTGAACTATGCCGTCTCTTTCACCAAGACCCGTATTCCGCACCGATCGTTAGTCATTTCCTCGAGACCTTCACCCTATTCCGGATTCAGCATCACACGCAGTCGATTCCCCTATAACTCATGTATAGGGCAGCGCGGTCACCCGTCAGTTCCCCCTCATCTTCGTCACTCAAAAACCTCTCGCGCAGCCGTCGGAGATCACCTTACCCGAGCCTCCGTATGCACACCCGACTCTCCTTTTCCCCTGGGACGTTATGAGTCATTGTGAGGGAAGTTGAACACTTCGTCTTCTCCGAGGAGTACCAAACACCTCTCTTCGACGTTGTCCTGTTGTTTCCCGTTGCGCACGGATGGTTTGATCTTTGGGTACTACAGACCGCAGCTCACGAAAACTCCCCGTGGGACTACGCTCTTCTTCAGGAGATGTTCGACGAGATGAAAAAAGCCCACGTGGATTTGTTTGTTGGAATTCGCTATGTCCTGGTGAAGCCCGTCATGGAGGACGAGGAAGATGAACTCAAAACTGGAAAAGGGGAGAATGGAAGATGCCATAGGTTGGTCAACATTCTGGAGGGATGTGCTCTGCGCTTATCCGTTAGTGAACGACGCGTGATAGCTCATGGGGTGGTCGCGTTGTTTTCCCGGCGGAGCTGACTTGCATGTTAGATGTTGTCGCTACTTTCATTCCTCCATCCTATTGTTGTGCTTGTACTTCAGGATCATACTCTGTATCACTAAGTGAACACTCTCCTGTGATGGCTCTCCTTATATGTATCAGTATCTGAATAAAGTTGACATCTTTCATGATTAGAATCTTGCACGGGGACCATCTACCTCCTCGAGTCGGAAGTCCCCATAGCGCCCACATTCCATGCTCCCGCATATTTGTTTCCAGCGACGGCCCAACTATCTACGACGTTGAATGATCATGATGAGTGTACGAGGTACTTACCGATCTCGACGGATAGTATGTATCGCCCTGTCTCAGCGGCGCCGTCCAAGATTCCAACTTCTCAGTATATGGTTGGTTCCATCCACTCTACGCCACCTGATTGGTTAATCGCAAAAAGCCGTATCCCTATCATGACCACAGATTAGGTGTCCCTTCTCTGTCTGGTGTTCTTGTTCGCCCTAGCCCTCGAACCCGGCCTTCGACGGGTGGCTTAGGAGCATAACGACCCCGTGTACATAATTTGGACTCTTTTAGCCTGAATTTTCTGTCGGGCAGTGCGGTGAAGGGCGTTAAGTTACCTCGGGAAGGGAAATATGATTGTGAAGCGACTGGAAGATCGGTTAAACAGGGCTGTTAATAGATCAGGACTGGCGTCTCACGCGACGGTACGTTTGGGAGGGGTTCGCGTATATCTACGAGCAGTAGTACTTACTGTCGATGAACATTGGATTGTGGCTCGTACGACGCACAGTGCTAGTACCTGAGTATTCAAACAGTATTACTGTCCCTGTAGCTACGGAGACGGAGACAGATAGCCGATAATCTAGTGGCTGTGTTGCAGCCGTCATATTGAGTGCGGTATCAAAGAGAGGCTTTTCCAGTTTCCACGAAGGCTTTCCACACGTCCACCATGGCTTCTACGGGCACTGTACGGTTTTTTTTTTATTTTCTCTGATCTGAGTAGATATTGATCAAATTACAGGGAGATACGACACTCACAGGAGACCCAACCAACACAAGCCCGACAGCTACGGGAACTGGGACTGAGACTGGAACTGGAACTGGTGCTGGCACTGGTACGGAGACTGGGAACGGAACGGGGACAGAAACTGGGACAGGTACTGAGACTACGCCTACAGATACCTCGACCACTTCGACGACGTCAACGACATCGACGACATCGACAACATCAACTTCCACAGATACCTCCACCAGCACCAGCACCACCTCCACCTCCACCTCGACAACGAGCACGTCTACAACTTCGACCAGTACTACTCCAACTTCAACCACCACGTCGAATACTACCACGACCTCGAATACAAGCCAGACGAGCACAACTTCAACTTCGACAACTTCGACAACGTCAGATTCTACAACCTCGACTACTTCCCAATCCACGACAGGAACTCCGACATCGACAACCAGTTCACAGGAACACACGACATCGTTTACTACCTTTGTCACCACTGCATCAAATGGTCAAGTTTCTACCGTACGCCTTCTCGTCAATTGCCAAATCGCGCGAATACTAACACCTGCTCAGGTCACATCCGCACTTCCGTCGTTGTGGAATCCGTCCAATTCCAACAGTTCCACAGACGCCAATCGAACAGCTATAATAGCAGGATCAACCGTGGCGGGCGTTGTCCTCCTTCTCCTCCTTCTTGCCTCTCTCTTTGTTTACAAGAGACACCAGAACCGAGAATCTAATTTCTTACGATCAATAATACAACGAGCGCGCGAGGGTCGAGGTGCCGGAAGTGTTGGTCTACTCGATGGAGAATTCGACGACGATGACGACTTGCAGATGACAAGGAGGTATCGCGATAATCCCAATGACCGCAGTACTCCAGGTCATTCAAGGCCAGGTTCCGGCGTCCACTTTGGACATACACCTACACCCAGTATGACGGGTAGTAGAGGCGCCACGCCTTTACCCATGACGCCTATGAATCCACATTCATCACCAATCGCTGGCATCCCAGGAGGCACTACTACCACCGCGGTATCCGCAGCAGCACCTATGGCCCTGGCTAATACATCAACGACTTCTGTCAACACGACCAAAACCACCGCCACCACGCCTTCCCTCTTTCGCGCTCGTGCATCAGACTCGGGAAGTATATTCCACGAAGATTTGTCCGAGAATACCAGTCCCGCTAGTAAATTCGTGGACCCTTTACTGACCAGGAGTGGGAATATCGATTTTTCGAACATAGTTGATGACGTGATGGGTCCTTCCCCCACTTCGCCTAATACCACCGCTGCAGTGGCTGGTGGTGCAGCAGCAGCTGGGGCAGCAACTGCATCCGCCAGTAGAACAAGCTCACCGTCACCCAAAAACATCCATAGTGCAGCCTTCCATAGTCTCCCTCCAGGAGCTGCTCCGCCAAAGACCCACGCGTCCAGCCCTAGTTCAGGTTCACTTTACAACGACCCCTTCGCCGCGACTTCCTCTAGCTCCTTCTATAGCTCCCACTCGAGAGACGCTACAGCCTCGTCAACGGCTTCTGCCGCGTCTACAGCTGGTCCGACGAGCTTGTTGGGCCTTCCTGCAGGGACATCACCCGTCAAAAAGTCCAGTCCGTTGGCTGTAAACACGACTACCATTGCAACAACGCCCACGCCACCGCCACCACCCTCGTCCTTTTCACCCCCTCCTCCGATACCAGCGAGATCACCCAATCGTCCGCCATCACCAGCACGTTCGCATCGCCTCTCGATGACACCGCCGCCCCCGATAGCTCACGGCGGGAATTGGTTAGAAAGGTCTCCTAAGAGGGGCGATTTTTCGAGTCTGAAAGGGTCTGACGAGGGAGGCCCAGGAGGTGTTGGGCAGGCTCTTTGAAAACACGCTATCGTCTCGCTATCCTTTGCATTCGTTCGTCCACCGTCCACTCTTTTCTTGCTTCGACTATTCGACCGCACCTGGACTATATCCTGCAATTGACACTTGTATTCCTACCCATCCCACGTTCTTTACATTATCCGGTCTCTCATTTGTGCACGAACTATATCATACCCACACCCCCAATATGCTTTATTTTTTGTGTTAAACGTTGCTACTCATTATTATAAGCACATACTACTCCCCCACTACGTATTATCCCTACGGTTTTGGACTCAAAAGCAGATGGCTTCGATTCTTGGGATTTTTTTCTTACCAATAGGACGTGAATCCTACGAGAATCGTCTACATACTAACTTTTTTGGACAATACATGCGAAGTACGCTCATCTGCGTAATGATTCGATTGTTGGTCGAAGTTGCAATCATCCCTTCATTCTGAAAGCGAGTTAAAGCAACCCCCCTTCCCCCCCTACTACCTTATTGGACAAAAAAAAAGCTATGAATTCCGAAATGTAGTGGACAAATCCGGATTTGAACCGGAGACCTTTCGCAGCCAATTCCTGCTATACAGAGTCATGCAAAGCGAACGCGATAACCCCTACGCTATTTGCCCGTATTCATAAGGATGGTGTTGATTGGGTTCGAGGGCCCGGATCACTTGGAGAACTGAGGGACCCCGAGATGTGTATGCTTGTGGGTCCAACTTCGGAACCAAATTTTGAAGGCAGAGCGACGCTTTTCGGACAGGGTTCCATAAATCCAACGTCTATTCCGACAAGTAAAGTAAAATCATAGTATGGTATATGGGGGGTAGGATCGTTACTGCTATAAATTATCGCGCGATAGTGGTAGTCGTAGTGAATCAACCCAGACTCGCATCTAGTAACCCAGTGGACTACGTAACATGGGTACCATGAGATTCTTCGACTTCATCAATTTAGCGAAGAACGGTCCGAGGGTGATTCCCCACAGAATGCCGAGGTAGACAAGGCCAGAGTCCTGTGCGAAGGTCTTGAGCACCTAGCACAATAGGAGGTAGAGAGAAAGGGACGTACCTTTCCATTCGTAAGAGCAAGGATCTCGAACGACCCTTTGTATTCTGCCTTGGGTGTCTTGCCATTCACGAAGCTGACAATGTTCTTCACGACAACAGGCGCGTGTCCCATCGAAGCCTTCGCACTCGTCTTCTGTTCATCCCAGTCGATGATATCTCCCGCCGCGAAGATATTAGGATGATCGACGAGTTGGAGAGTCGGCTTGACTTTGATATGGCCACGAGCGGTAACCGCGTTCATTCCTAGAGAAGAACCGACGACTTCGGTGTTGGGTCGGCCTCCCCATGTTCGGATGATGAGGTCAGGTCGGAAAGTTTGACCGTTCTTTGTGGGGACTGGGACACCATTGGCCGCTCCGGCAGCTAAGTCTTCGGGGACGGAGTTCTCGAGGACGACGTTGATGTTGCGGGCTTCGAGTTGCTTTTGGATGCCTTTTCGTATTTTGGTGGGGTATGCGTCGTTCAAAAGGAGCTTGTCGCGGTGAATGATGGTGATCTCTTTGTCCTGTAAAAGGGACGTCAGTGGCACTCTTTGAGTACATTGAAACAGAGTAACGAACGGGCCAGACATCTCGTATCTCCCCAGAGAGCTCTATCGCACACAGATGATTAGTGATAGGTCCCAAAAAAAGATGAGGGCCAGAAAACATACCGATTCCAACAGCACCACCACCAACCAACAATACGCTCTTCGCATCTGCGAAATCCTTTCTCTTCTGGTCAATGAACGCGTCCACCTCCTTCGCCTCATGCGGGAATGCAAGGGGACCCTCCCACTTGTTTCCACTAGCAAGAACGAGCACATCATACCCAACCTTCTCCCCGTTCTTCAACTGCAGCTCCCTAGCACTCGCGTCGATCGCGACAACCTCTCCTTGAACAAACTTGCCGTTTCCATTGATAAACAGCTTATCGTAGGGTACAAGGATGTTCTCTTTGAGGTTGTTCTTCCCCGAAGCGACCATACGAAGAGAGGGGGGTAGGATTATCGAATATGGGCGAGGGTTGATGACGGTAAGCTCATAACGAGCTGGGTCGAGAGATTTAGAGAGCGGTCGGGCAATGTTAATACCTGCTACGCCTCCTCCTACGATGACGATGCTAGTCTTCTTGCCAGACATGGTACGAGGAAAGATGGGGGGATGGGGGGAATTGAGTGGGATGGGATGAAACCTTTACCCTTGAATTACCTTTATAGCTTTTTAAATATGCCTACAACAGGTACCTGTCCGTCGAGGATAGCGGGGCTTGTCAGCATTGTTTCAACCTTTTGCAGTGTTATGATGATCGTTGCTCTGGCCTCTCGTATTTTTGTTTGCCAGGGAAGAAGACCGGCTATACGGACGAACAGACCGCGGTGATTCGGGTGAGTCGGCTAGAGTTTGCCTATGGAGGCGCGGAGGCCAGGGAGAGTTAGATGAATATCATATCATATCATACCAAAGATGCGCAACGGGACCCAAAGGGGCCATGCTAAGAGCTGGTGAGGTCAGAAAGCAAGGTAAACCATGCTAATTTCCGCAAAGCACCAACGTAACAGCCCTCTACATACATGAGTACCAAGTCTAGTTGTCCCTATCCCATTCATTCCTCCGTTCCTTCTGCTACTGTTTCGAGATTAGATTCTTCCGTTTTGGCTTTAGACGCGTGCTCTTTCATTTCCTTCTCATATTCCTCTAATGTTGGATTTGACTTTTGCCATACCCGAAGCGCGGCCTCGTATGCTTCCCAAACCAAGGTACCTGCCCTTTCCCCTCCAAACTCGTTATCGTCCGGAAGACGCGGGGCTGGTTCGTCGGTAGTCGCTTCGGCTCTCTGTTTCCCCTTCCCCTTCTTGTCTTCTTCTTCACTCGGTTTCACTATCAGGTGGGGAGGAGGAAGCCTCAGCCCGACCACGGTAGCACATTCGGCGTAGAGAGCCCCTGGCTTGAGAACCTCTTGCGGGTTCCTTGCCACCCGTTTGTTGCCGCCGGAAGATTCTTTCGACGCATCCTGCTGCTCCTGAGATTCATTAGGTTGTGAATTGATGATGAGCTTGAAGGGAGTCGGAAGGAAGAGTACGTGAAGTATTGACTGTATCGCAAATGTTGGACCTTTCGCAAAGATTCGGAGGAGAGGATAGAAAAGCGTATACCTGGAGTGCCAGACGTGTCAATGACGGTACGTGAATTGAAGCGGTGACACGTACAGAAGTACCCCAAGCCATGATGTAGGCCTCTCTGAGCCAACCGTTAACATCCTTCCTATCGTATCTGACCGGCTCACACCAGGAGACACGCTCATTGCGACAATATTCGACCTTTGGTTCTTTGCGCTGACCACGGGGACAGACGTGGATCCCGCTGAAGCTTGGGGCACCTGAGCAGACGGAAGTGCGTCAAGAACACGCTGTAGGTGACGCGTAAGGATAATAGTCTGTAAAGCTCGTCGTCCTTCCTCGAAGAATAACGATGCCGACTTCTGAGATTTCTCCGGTGTCGTCGGCGCAAAAGACGGAAAGAGGTTGTTATAGAAGAATACAGGATCTGGGACCGCAGCAGCGTAGAAACGGTTCACCACATTTACGATACGAATATCGCGTTCGGAAGGTGCCGCCAATAGGGAGGGGAGTAGAAGTGTTGTCAGAAGGAATGTCGCTAGAGACCTTCTATCTCTTTCATCCTGCACTCCCGCTGTCTCCTTCGTGACGAATCCGAAAGATCCAAGGGTCTCGTATTCGTGCGCAAATATGAGGGCGTCCAATCTCTTGTCTTCTCCTTGTAGAAACCTTTTGCAGAACGCCTGAATGGATGCTGGAGAGTTCAGATCACATTGCTCGGCGTATATGAGCTCGTTCTTTGTTGTAGAACGCAGCACGTCGATGAGAGAGCTGACGTTTTCATAGGCGACGGGATATGGCGTCAGCGCGATTATGTGTGCCCCCCGTTCGGCCAATTGTTGTAGAAGGGTGATCCCAACCGGGGTGAATGCCCCCGTTATGAGCACGACTCGACCATGAAGAGTGCGTTCACGAGTTGTCTTGCGGCCTTGGAAGAAGATGTAGAGTGTGTAGGTCGCTAAGAGACCGAGGACAATGTGGGTGGTGTATTGGGTTGGGAAATAGTTATTGGCGGCGGTGGCAAGGATAGCAAGGACCATAGTAGAGTAAGGAGGTCTTCAAGTCGACTATGAGAATGGTCCCCAAGACTTCATAGAAAGAAGGGAAGGAAATTTGAGCCCCTGCGAAGGCTTCGACTGTATCTTCGCGAGTCGGAGTGATGGTCGAGGAAATATGAGTGCGTGGGAAGAAATTTAGCAGCGCCAGTCCTTTCCTTCCAAAAATCATGTCCCTCAAAGTACCCAAGGCGAACAATCTTCAACTCTTCAAGGAGGGGTACAAGGTACGCTCTTATTCGCGTAGTCCCAGGCTTAGCATCTGATCCCAGACCTTAAGCATCTTCAAGGTCTTGAAGAAGCAGTTCTACGGAACATCCAAGCTGTGAATGAGCTATCTGATCTGGTCAGAACAAGTTTTGGACCTAATGGCGCGTCTTTTCTCGATTCTTCTGTTTCGAATTTATCTAAAGCCCTCCAAACATCCAATTAGGTCGGAACAAACTTCTCATCAATCACCTTGGACGGTTATTTGTGACTAGCGATGCTGCAACAATCATTCGTGAAGTTGAAGTCGTACATCCAGCTGCAAAATTGCTCGTCATGGCGTCACAAGCTCAAGAATCCGAGGTATGGCCCCCTCTTGAAAGGTTCTGGTAATTCTAATGACCTTTGGACGTCATCTCTCAGATGGGAGACGCGACGAACATGGTCCTCATTCTAGCCGGTGAACTGCTCAAAAAGTCAGAACAACTTCTGATCATGGGTTTACATCCGAGTGAAATCATCAAAGGATACGAGCTGGCATGTACAAAAGCACTGGAGGAGCTTGAGAGTGCGTCGATGTCTCTATCGAACCTTTAAAACCCACTGCTGACCCGCTTTTTTTTCTTTCTTCCCTTTTTTTGCAGAACTTTCGACATATTCTCTTCCTTCACCACTCACACATTCATCTCTCGCCACAGCACTCAAGCCTTCCATAGCATCGAAACAATACGGTTATGAAGATACTCTCTCGTCACTTGTTGCCGAGGCTGCATTGGCTGTCATGCCCCCGAACCCCAAAAATTTCAACGTAGACAACGTTCGGGTCGTGAAAATTATGGGAGGAAGTTTGAGCGCCAGTAAAGTTGTATTGGGAATGGTATTTGGACGAGAGCCGGAAGGTGACATAGTTGAATCTACATGACGGACTTTTACACCTTGCTGATAGCCGTCTAGGAACCGTCAAAAAGGTCACCAAAGCCAAAGTTGCTGTCTTCACTTCCGCCCTCGACATTGCACAGACGGAAACGAAAGGAACCGTTCTGATCAAGAACAAAGATGAGATGCTGAACTTTACCCGCGGAGAGGAAGAACATCTGGAAAAAGTGCGCACATCTTGTCATCTCCTTTGTTCATTGACTCACCTTATTTTTTACTAGATCTTCAAAGAGATTGCAGACTCTGGAGTGAAAGTGATCATC